CCGAATGCAAATTGCAGGCAGGGCTAACGAGCGGTGGATTTTCTCGCTACTTAATTTTCCGAATTCATTTTCAGGGGGGTTCTTCTTGTTTTTTGTATTTTGGTTTTGTTTTTGGCAAGCCTATGGCGGCCAAGATGTCTTCCTACTCTCGGATGAAATGGCTTTCAGCTGCGTGATGTTGTTGCTTCTGATGTTGTTGATGTTGCTGCTGGTGCTGGTGTTGTTGCCGCTGTCGGCGCGGCCAGAAATAGCATAAAACTCATAAACGAGGCAAGCGAGTCGAGTCGCGAGGCAAGGCAAGGAAACATGGCATGCCATTTGAAAATTTCATTTCGTTATAATTTTCTATTTCCCGCATGCCAAACGGCCCGCCAGGCAAGTCCCAAAGGGGCCCCTACACTTGAAGAAAATGCCAGCAAGTGGCCCTTAAAAAACGGAGTGACCCTAAGGCGGTTCTAGCCCTCATGTAAAAGCTGAAGTAAGCTTAAATAATACATTTTTATGGGAAATAGTAAAGTTTGGATTGGATTTCCATAATTATTAATTAATATTCTTTTTAAATACAAAAAAATGGGTGTCACATTTTGCTAAGCTATGAATCTATTATATATATTATATATTTTTTCGAGTGCATTCACCCAAAGGGGTTGAGGGGGCCGGACTGAGACAACCCCCTTTGCACTTACTACCTAAACGAACCAAGGTTCGTCGTCTAGCGCCGCCATTCATACTTAATTACCAAAAAATAAAAAAATAAAAGAGAGGAAAAATCAACGGCAGCAATCACAAACCAAAAACAAACGGCGGCAAACGAAAAGTTGTCTCTTCTCTGGCGTGACGCTAAATGAGCCCCCACCCACAGTTACCGCACCTCCGTTCCGTTCCTCCTGGGCCGTGGAAAATCTTATGACCAGGCCAGGTAGACCAGACAGACACCACCCCCGAAATAAGAAAAAAAAAAGAAAAGAGGCGAAAAAGATGAGGCGAGATGAGTTGGGCTGGGAAATGATGAATTGTGGGTGCCGTTGGGTAAGTTTGTCGCTTCCACTCGTAGGCGTTGACCTAAATATGCGAACTGCGCTGTGTCGTCGTCGTCGTTGTCGTCGCTGCCGGTGCAGAGCATTTTCCGCTCTGGCAGCGGTTTTCTTTCTGTTCGTTTTGTAATCGCTTGCCAAACAGATTCTCCCATTTCCATACCCATAACTATACCCATACCCCATCCCATTTCCCACTTCCATTTCCCATTTTCAAACAACAACAAGTGCAACTGGAGATCAGAAACCCAGAAGAGAAACCTAAACCCCCCCAAGTTATCCAATCGCAGCTGTCAAGGTTCTCTGCGGGGTTTTCCATAGTACACAGGTATTGCTTTTCTCAATGAAAAATCTTTTCGATATTATTAGTGCTTTGGCAAGGTGACAAAATAGAAACCGCAGAAAAATTAATATTCAATGCTGCGTGCAACACAAGTGACAAATAATTATATAATAGAAAAGTGAGCAATTCTGTGTACTCATGTCTAAATAAATAATGTTATTTTAAAGGCTATGTTTCGAGATCAGTTTACATGTTATTGCAGAAAATTATATCTTTTATATGTTGAGATGGAGGTTTGATTTAATATTTTATTATTTAGATATAGGGGTATATTCCTTTTATATTTATGTAATAAATTAATTAAATATGAGCATTATATTCTTTAAAGTGTAAATTTTCCAATTCAAAAATTTACTACATATATTCAGGCTCTATATACTTCAAGGTTTGCCCTATTTTTAAAATCCCAGCTTAGTAATAAATTATTAATTCACCTTTTTGCAACAAACCAAGGCAACTTAATCTTTTAATTTTACGATATCCAATCACAATATTGTAGCATAGCCATGAATAATACCCATATAATTAATATTTCGTTGTGTCAGCCACTGCCAGTTTGTCTCCGCTTTCGGACAAACAAATATCGGGGCAACAAACAAACATCGGCGGGAGCCGCCGACCTGCTGACTGCCGGGCTGCTGATTCTGCTCCGACTCGGACTTCTGCTAGATCAAATCATGTTTTATGAGCAGCTAATTTACTTAACACCTCGGCAACAACAGTACCGGGGAGAACCAACTGTAGTAGCCCGCAGCCAAATACAAAAGATGTGACTTATATTTATTTTTCACATGGCCTTTTCTTTGTTTTTTCTTGTTTGGTTTTGGTTTGCTATTTTTTTTGGACTTTTTCGCATCTTCAAGTCACACTTTTGGACAGAGAGCGGGGGGAATTCGGGATGTTAGCGACTGACGTTCACGGCGTGGGTGTAAATTGGGCATAAAATGCGACCAGTTAATTCATGATACTACCGATTCAGTCAGGTTCGAAGGCATTTTAATTGGTTTCAAGCTGCTGCGTCGTCACACGGGGCGTATGAATAATAAATCCCAGCTACCCTGCTACCCGCCCCCACGCTTTATATGTATATTCCGTCCACAAATAGTTCAGGTTGCAGAATAACCGATCCGAGTCAGATTTTGTTTGATTGATCTCCACACGATCCGATGCCATTTGTGGCCTTTGATTGGGCTGAGAGTTTAACGATCGCTTCTGACGGTCGGATGGATCGCGGTGCTTTATGGCCCGATATGTAAATTGAGTTATTTCCCAAAAAAACACCGAAGAAATTGGCAAAGTGAAAGGAAAGGAGTTGACAGATTTCCAGATTTCTGCACGTCTGTGTGGGTGGATTGATTAGTATGCATTTCGATGAGTAATCGCTTTTTTTAGCGATCGGCTGGTCGGTCGATGGATCGATGGATCGATCGATCGCTTCCCAGGCATTTGCTGCGTTCGCAGTCAAAATAAATCAGGCGGGGGCAAAAAGTAAATATCCTGTTAATGCTATATGTTGTTCATTGAGCACACAGCAGAAGGAGAAGGAAGCGAGGGTCGAAAGTAAATAAACACCAGATAATAAACCCGAAAAGACAAAGAGTGCGAGTGAGCGGGCGGAATTATGCGGAGAACAGCTGATTGCAGCTGATTTCGTATCGGAATGGGAGTCGGGGGGGAGTCAATCCGAAAAGGGTTGGGTTCTCTCTCCGCCCCCTTTTTCTTTTATTCTGCTTTTTTTTCTCTCTCTCTCTCTCTCTCTCTGTGTGCGAGATCCATGACGGAAGAAGCAGAAGCCAAAGGAGCGATGTGAAGAGAGAGAAAATGAATTAAAAATCTAATTGCGCCCGCGATGAAACAAAGCACAAAAAAAATTCAAAAATCCAAGAGGGAGAAGACAATAAAAACAACAAAACGAATAAATAAAAAGAAAAGCAAAGGCAAAAAACCAAAAGAAAAATGAAAAACGAGGCAAAAGAAAGGCGAAGGCGGGGTGGGGTCGGGTGATCGCACTTAGTCGCATTACAGACGCAAAACTCCATGAACCGCAACGCAAGAATAATTACAACAACAAACATAGCAATGCACTGAACAAAAAAATTGAGTTCAAGCTACTAAAAAACTTCTTAAATTACAAGTAAGTTCTAAAAAAATCGGATATTGATAACGGTTAAATGAGGTATATCCAAGCCAATAGGGCTTGTGGTATATAAAAGATATATTTCTGTATAAATTAATGTAAAATAGGAAGGAACTTGCCTTTTATGACATCTAGAAGCGTAGGTTCTAGTAACCAGTAACGAATTATTAGTAACGAATATCTAGTAACTGGCAATTTTTAATTAATATTAATTATTAATACCCAAAAAACTAGTAACTTCTTAGTCTTGACTCTTTTCTTAGCAATTTAACTTTATGATTTTCAAGTTCCCATACAATTTCTCTGCGTGTACAGCAATATCAAAGAAGATAGACCATGGGGTTGGGTCTCTGCCAACCACAAAGGTCGAATGCAGACTGCAACAACAATACGAATAAGCAACGATGACGATGACGATGTGAGTTAAAGTTGGAGCTAAAGACTGGCGAGCAGAAATGAGTTTTCAAAGTTTTTCCAACTTCTCGGGGGAGAGAACTTAATGCGAATTTAATTAAAATGTGCAACTAGCAACAGGCAGCAGCAGCAGCAACTGTGGCACAGCGGCGGCAATAATAAATTCTAGATGTGAGCATTTTTGTAGTTGCCTCGGCAACAACCAAATTGAGGAGGGCACACGAAGAATCCAGCGGGAAGAATTCGAATTCGAGAGAGACCGGGCCTAGACTTGCAGCAGCAGCAACAACAAATTGCACAGGCGCATGCGCAACGTTTGCATGTGTGTTTGTGCGAGTGTATTGCATAAAATTATTTCGGTCTGGTGAATATTAGCAGAGCGTGAAGTTGGCAAATAAGAAATTCAGCTGCACAAAAAAAAAAAGCCAGTTAAATTTCATTAAACAACAACCAGAGAAAGAGCCAGAGGAGCTCGGAGAAAGAGGCAGCTGCTGCTGCAACTGAAAAAGAAAAGAGCGAAAGAAAGGTTTGGGGGGAGAGATATGTTCAGAGAAAGGGTGCTTAGTTAGGGAGATTTTCACTAACTAAAAACAAAACATATTTCTTGGTTTTCTCGAAAGCTGATAAATAGGTTCAATGATCGAACAAATTATATAAGAGAAAATTGGACCAAAGCTACGGCTGGGAAACTCTTAAGTTATTCCACTAAAGTCTACTATATCTTGTATGTTTTCCTCTCTTACTATTTTCCATTTACAACCAACAATTAAATGCAATGGTTTACAGCTTCCATGTTAGTTTCCGGCAATTCAGATATAGTAAGATTTGAGATCAACCAATCTTCTCTTATAAAGAAGTAAATCATTATTTATCCCTTAATAATATTTTAAGTTATTAATCCCATGAGATCATATGCTCTAGTTAAGAATTAAAGCATTATTTTGGAATCCCTTAATATTTTAATTATTAAACTCTAAGCCCAAAGATATATCCTTTTATAATTACCTTTAAATTTCCCATTAATTATCCCTTGGAAACCCTTTCAAAGTTGTAAAAATTGAAATCCACTCACCATAATTGTCGCTCACAGCCGTTTTGACCGCTTCCATCACCGAGTGCGAGGCCCGCATGGGCTGGCCGAGAATGGTGAAGTTGCCCGGGTTCGTCTGCTGGGCAAAGACCACGTACTCTATACTGGTGGCCTGCTGCAGATCATTGCCGGAGCGGAGCACTCCACGCGGACGCAGCTTCTCCCTGTAGATGTCGCATTCGCCGCTATTGTTGCGCACGGTGAACTGCAGCCTGACGAGCGTCGGCAGCTGGAGGCCTCGCTGCTGCTTGTACACCTCCACGACCTTCATCGAGGCCGAGAAGTTGAGCCGCCGGTCGGCGGACATCGACTTGAAGACGCCCTTAAAGACGGTGGGCGCCGCATAGGCCAGCTGAGCAGGATCCCGGGCCGAGCAGTAGCGATCCGATCGCTGGCGACCCCGGTGCTTTCGCTGGTGCTTCCGTCGCTGTGGCTCCTGGTGCCTGTTCGGGCGCTGCTCCTTCCTTTGCTGCTGCCTTAGACGGCGATTCTCCCGCTTCTCCGCCTGCAGCTCCTTCCGGTGGCCATTGGGGCGACGCTGGTTCTGCCCATCCCGCCGGCTGCGCGCTGCCTGCTCAGGATTGCGCTCAATCTGTTCCTGCTGCTCCTCCGGGATTTCGAAGGACTCGATGTAGTATCTCTGCAGCGCTCGCCGGCTGTAGTTGCTCGCAGGATGCGAGAAGCTGCTAACAGGAGCTGGTAGCTGCGCGGGCTGTATGTGACGACGCATCTTACTGCTTGTCGCCGGCGCCGCCTCGCTGGGCAGGCCATTGTATAATAAATTATTATATATTTGACTAATGATTAACGTATTTGGAACTTTTTTCTGTGGCACGGCAGCAACATGTTGCTGAAGTGGCTCCTGTTGCTGCTGTTGCTGCTGATTGGCTGCACTGCTGCCGGCATCGAATACTGTGGCTGGCTCTAACTTAAGATTGCTACGGCTACTAAGACTATTGCTGGTGCGGCTGAGCAGCCTACTTAAGATATTGTTGCTGTTGCTGTCGATGTTGCTACCGCTTTCACTGCTGCTGCTGCTGCTGCTACCGCTGATGCTACCGCCATCATTATCCGAACTCAGTGGTATATAGTAGCTGCTTTCTTCGGCACTGCCTTCCCATAATAATCGCGCTGCTGGTAGCTGCCGCTGCTGCTGCACCGCCGTCGCAGCGGCCGACACACCTGTGATCAGTAGCAACATGTAGCTGATAATTAGCAATATCAATGGCATTCGTTGCTTTTTTGTTTTCAGACTCCATTTGCGCAAATGTTGCGCATACATGGCGTCCTCCAAAGTTGTTGCTGCTATTGCCCCGACTTTATTTACAAAATCTCTCGGTTCTACGAGTAATGGTTGCCGCTGCTGCTGCTGCTGCTGCGTGTTGCTGCTGCGTATTGCTGCTGCTGGGTTGTCCTTTATTGGTTTAATGGTGACAAATATCGTAGTCGCTGCCACGTCGTTGTGCCTTGTCGTATTTTCGTTTATCCTGCAAATACTTTCGATAGTTTCGTAGCATTTTGAGCGACAGCAGGGATCGAGAGAGAAAGAGGTCTATTTTCGCGCACTGTATGTCTAGCATTAATTGATTTTAACACTCTGGCTGCTGCTGCAATGGCTGTTGTAGCTTCTGCTGCTGTTGCTGCTCTTGGTGGTGACTCATCTTTGTTGTTATCTTTCACTAAATTCGCTGCGTTTCACGCACGACCACGCCCCGCTGCACGCCCCAAAAGAAAATTCGGACGGGCCTAAGGTCGCGTGGCGTTTGATTTTTCTTCCCCCACTTTTTCCGGAGCGTTTTTCTTTCGCGACGTTTTTCACGCGCGCGCGATCTTTCGTTCGGTTCGGTTCGGTTTGCTTTTCCGTGCTCTCGGGAATCTTCGGATGCGGACTCGGAATCGGCTCTAGCCTCGGCTGACGATCGGTCGGGTGCGTGTTGTTGCCGCCTTTGCTGCTGCTGCTGCTGCTGCTGCTGCTGCCGCTGCTGTTGTAATTGTAATCCTCGCCAGGCAGAGATATACGATAATGTTTGTCTGGCCTGGCCGTATACGCGATCTGCCGACTATATAGCCGTAGTCGTAGTCGTAGTCGCAGCCGTAGTCTGATTCACTGGCGACGACGAGTACGAGTGTTTTCTGGCACACACTCACTCACTCACACACCGCGGATACTACGGATCGTCTCTGATCTCTGATGACGATGATGATGGTGATGATGATGTGCGATATAGCGATATAGCAGACACGGACACTCACACGTATCTCTCGGATACGGACACACGGACACGGCCACGGTACACACACACGCAGCACACACGTCTTCTAATTTTAGACAAAAGTAATTATAAAAGAAAAAACAGAGCAGAGTGCGCCGCGTATATATATCTCATATATATATATATATCTTCTACTTTGGCTAGATATATATGTATGCGCACATCTGCCACGGTGTGCGTGTATTTTATATAGAAAAGTCGTCGCAACAGTCGGCTCTAGATATATACTATATATCGTGTATTATATATTACGTGTATATTGGAGGCACACACACACTATAGCACGCGCGATCGTTTTTGTTTTATATATCTGCGCGGTGCAGACAGAAGTTGTTGCTTCTTCAGGATGCTGCTGCTGCTGCTGCTGCCGATGCCGATGATGATGATGATGATAACGATGCTGCTGCTCCGGCTGCTGTATTGTTGTTGTTTTTCCGCAAAGTTTTAACTCACAATTACTCCGGCGCTTTTTCGCTTTTCTTTTCGCACGCCCGCGAACGAAATCGAAAGTCCTTTCACACGGATCGCGATCGATCGATCGATGGATTCGAATTGGTTCGATTTGCTCGGTGGGTTTAACGTCACTTCTTCGATTGGTTATTACTGTTACTCCAGCTGATGAAATTCGCTATTATCTTTTGCTTTTTATTCAATATTTTCCAAAATATTCGAAACAATTTCACTGACTGAATCTTCACTGATCTCTCACTGGTCTGGGGCGATCTCTTATTTTTCAACGCCCTCCGATTGTGTCTCTGAACACTGGTAATTTTTGGCTATTTATTTATTTATTTATTTTCCGTTTAAACCGAATTTCACGGCTGAGCCGAATTTTAAAAAATAATTTTTTGTGTGTTTTTTTGTATTTTAAGTATAAAATATTAAATCGGTCGGGACAGACGCAGTTTTGTCCATTTTATATCAACGCGCAGCACAGAACGTCTCCGATTCGCTACCTAAACTGAACTAAACCTGACTGAGTACTGAACAAACCCAACTGACTGAATACGAATACGAATACTGAATACCTCACCACCACTCACCACGGCAGAGACTGCCTCTCTGCTATGCCGCGCAATTCAAAGTGTTATTCCTCTTTATTTCCGGATGAAATACTATTTAATTTAATTTTAAAAAATCATTTTAAATTTTCTTTAAATCCTTACATTTTTTTTATATTTTTTAGTTCCCATTTATAATTAGTATTTATATAATTATTATCCAGCAAGAGTAAACGTTCGTAAGTAAACGTTTTAACATATGTCAAAACAAATTTTACACGTTTACAGAACGACGGTGTCAAATTTGTATGGAAATGTTAAGCTTGGGGTGGAATTCTCATGTAGAATGTTAAATTTAAGTAAAATGATTTGGTAAGAGAGAGAGTTCGGCTCTGCCTCGATTCACTTCGTGTTCTCTCTATTTGCTCGCATTGGAAGTTTTTCTCAAAACCATTTTCTCAGCCCTCCCGAGTTTTCTCTTAAAAATTGCGAGTGAAACAATTTGTTTACGTTTTATTAATTATACCGAAGCGATTTGCGGTCAGGATTCGAGATATCCTTATAGTTATTTATTGATTTTAATTCATTTATTTATTTTATGTGTTATGTATTTATTTATTTATTTAGTAATTTTTCTTGTTATAAACATCTTTTAATAAAAGCCAGCTTGGGATTTATCCAAGAAGTTACAAATGGTTTGTATTTTACAAATGTCTTTTAAATATTTAAGCTGAATTATTTTTTAAATATATATTAAAGAACTCTTTCTCTCTCAATCTATCACTTTTGAAGAACCATTATATATCCTTACCTTTTAGCAATTTTAGCTTCCAAATAAATATGGGTTTTTTTACAATTTAAAAACATGTTCACTTCTTTACACTTTAAATAGTCAAATAATTTTGCAACACTTTCGTTCCACTTTAAAAGTACAACTGAACTAATCAATAGAACCGATCGAACTATCATTTTTATAGGCTTCCAGCGACAGCACTATCTATCCAATAAATAAATATAGATAGGAATACGATTGTGATTGGCTTTCGCTGTGATTTTCCGATATGTTACTCATAATCGACGAGTTTCTGATAGGCTACTGAAAGAGCTTTCCAGTCTCTGATAACAGTTGTTCATAAGCAAAACAGGAAGGATAACCAGGTTTGATGACTCACTGCGGAAGATGTCATAAAAAAGACAATTTCGAATATCAATGAATTAATTTAATTTATTCAATCATTTTTGCTCAATAATTTAATAATAATGCAGGCTTATGGGGGCTCAAAACACTTAATGTTTCTTTAATTATTAATTTGTACATATTAGAAATATTCTAAAACATATTTAAGAATAGTTTTCTTACTATATAAGTATTACACATTCTAAATAATGCATATCCTAACAACCAATAAGGTAAAATAATTTTTATAAAACAATAAACAGAATATATTAACCTTAAAATTCTCCACCTTTGGGATTCGTCTTATATATGTACATATGTACTGTCTAAAATAATGTTTCAATACGAAATAAATCCAAATTATTTAGTAATATTTCTTAAATAAGAATACAAGAATATCAATAAACTTTTCCCCAATTTTTTAAAATACAAGTCAAGTTCTATATCACTCGATCTCTTATAGAATTTAAGCCCCTTAATATATCTCAATAATACCCATTTAGCTTTGTGTTCTACGACTGGGGGACCTGGTATCCCGCCTCCCTTCGTCGCCCCGCCTTTGTAATATTTCCTCATCCATAAGCTGGGGCGATGAGACGCAGTTCTTCGGGAGTCTCAGCTTTTTTCCCATGATTATTTGCTTTATTGTCAAATGTCAAGTCCGCAAACAACAACAAACAGGTGATTCCGCTCGGCGGTTGGGAGTCAGTCGTGTAAACTTAACGTTTTTTTTTCTACTCCCCGCTGTTGACAAAGCTTCCACTTGTTCTACGCACTGCGCATAACAATAAAAGAAGCTGACAAAATAACAAAAGCAACAAAAACAACAACGAAAAGAAGAGAAAAATATAAAAAAAAATTATCAAGAGGGCAAAGAGCCCGGGGGAGAGGAGCTGACGAAGGGGAAAGAGTAGTGACAAGTGCGACAATTGTAAGAAAAACCAGAAGCAAAGAAGGGTTCAAAGTCGGCCACTTGTGACGGAGCTGGGCCAACTTGCTCTAGGTTGTTGTTACCACTTTTCAAGTCTAACTGAAACACAAAAAAAAAGCAGGTACTTACCCCACTAACCGAAACTCTCGGGGGGCTGGCTGATAACGAGCTGGCAAAAATAGATCAGAGTTCGAAAAATGTGATAGTGCCAGTGAACCAGGCCAATTCATATCGATTACCACCTCACCCACAGTTGGTTTTCCTGCCATAAAGATGCTCCGGAAGCGGAAATAAAGCAGGGCACCTGTCGTCGCCGCGACAACAGGGCAGGTAGAATATATATACTCGAAGCACATATTTGGAAAGCTGCAAAAAAGGAGGGACTTCGCTCCAACAATCGGGCGGCATTGTGCGGAAGTGCAGGAAGTGAGCGTGAGGAACAAGCTGCAGAATCCATGGATCCCATTCCCCTCCCACGAACCCGGCTTCCCTCCTCGCCCCGAAAACCCAACTGACGACAGACAACAGCTGCCAAGCGCAGCGTCATTGTATCATCAACAAATACTCAAATACCAAAATACCCAAATACACACGGAATAACAACAACGGCCATAAGAATAGCAAGCCAAGCCCACAACAATAACAAACACGAGGAACACGGACAATTTTCCAAAACGAAAAAAAGCAATTTCAAAATGCGCGCAGGCGCAAACATCCAATGTCGACTATATGTCATCCATGGGGGAGGTCCATGGCCATAGAGTTGGGAAAACAAACCGAAGGAAAACAATTCAAACTGAATTCCCAACGAGTTGTCAGGGAGCACACTCACTAAATAGACCCCAAGCCTTGGACAATTAGAATGGATACGTTTAATCAAATTACGCTAAAGGCTGAGAATTAATTTTAAACTCTAATAGGTAGTGGTCAAGTAATAACAATTGCTTTCAAAGGTCGCCAACCGCTGTCATGAGTTTGTGTTGAAATAGGAAAATTGTTTGTTTTTGGTTGGGGGGATAATTTTGCAAACCTTTTGCTTAAAAGAAATACTTATCTTAAAGTTAAAAAATAACCAAAAACATTAGCTAAATATATTTCAAAACGTTTTAAACAATTTTTAAAGTTAATTATGACCTTGTTAATATGTATAAAGATCCACGGGTTAACTCCAAATATAAAATAAATATGAAAGTCTTTGAATAAAAACTTTGGCTTAGTATAAATTCCTTATTTACAATATAATTTAAACCGGATTTGTAACTGATTACAGCTAATACCAGAACAAGTATTAAACCAAGTTCAAGTGCAAAATTCCATTCAAATAAAGGTTCAGTTTCCGTTCTGATTAAAGCCTAGGCGCTAGCAACAACGTCATGATTAAGGTAATAAAGATATGTATATCTTTGTAATCGGTCAGTTAAACAAATAATTGATTTGATAAAGCAACTGTTTAATTGTTAGATTGCTAGATTTTTTGATTTCTTGATTACTATCAGCGATAGGGTCGAGCTTCCAGGGCTTCCTATCTCTTTTTCCTTGCGGTGTGGTAATTACAATGAAAGTAAATGAGATTCGAATTTGTTTAGCCGCTGCACTTGTTGTTCGCGGTGTTGAATGCCCACATGCAACAGGGGCAGCATGGCAACAACAACCGAATGGGTAACCGAAGACAAAGCCGTTATAGCCATCGCACTCTGAACCGCCGATCTCACCCGGCTGTCCCCCACCAGTCAGCCTATGTATGTGCTATATATCCATCCCTCCACCGAGTGAGAGACGCCGCCACCGCCGCTAAATTGTGTTAAAAACTCGCCAGCCAAAGTACAGAACGCAGAAACCTCAAGATCCGACCGGAGAGATAAACAACATGAGACAGAACGGAACGGAAAGGAAAGGAACGAGCTGAACTTGGTGCAATCTTCCGCATTATGAGTATCAAGCAGACAGAGAGCAACATATAGAGGGTTATCTATGGGCACGACTGAAGGATGCCCTGGATAAGGAGTTTCAGAGTAAAAATATAAGATACAAGTAGCTGTATTTATGATATTTTGATATCCTATTAGCATAGATTATCTTTAGAACCACGTAAATACCATTATTTATATATCAAAATATATATAATTTATTGAAAACAATTGACAATCTGTTGCTTGAATACTAAAAAAACCTTTTAAAATATCCAAAAGAGTAGAAAAGTTCCTGTTATGTTCAGTAAGCATTGCTTCTTAATAGCTCACTAATATACCCTTGGCCCTCTTCAAAAAGAGGGTACAAAAAGGCGAGGAAATGGAAATGAAAATGCACTTGGCTTACACCGGATCGGGGCAGGTTGTTGGTGGTAGCAAAGCGACCGGCAACTGGCAACCGGCAAGCGGCGAGCGGCGACATGTGGCCATCTCCGCCTGAAACTGGGCTCTGTGACTGGGCTCTAATTTCAATTGGGTTTCGTGGTTGTGGAAATTATTCAACAGCGCTAAGTACGCCCAGAGACTTGTGACTTGGAACTGCCCCGTCTGTCCGTGTGTCTTTTATTTTATATGGTTTTTGTTGTTGTTTTCATTTTTTTTATTTTTTTTCTCGCTCTGTGTGGGGGGCACCCACGCGTGACGTGACTCTTTGGTTTGGCTCTTCCATATACCTGAGCCGCTTCCGTAAAAAGTTGCCGCCAGTTCCCGGCCAGAGTGGAGGTTCCCCTTCCTTCCCAGGGTCTCTCACGGAGGCTCACGGAGTCACAGAGCCCTAACCCCGTCCATCTGCCTCTGCGGTTGATTCTCTTCAAGTGCATTGAAGCAAGTTGAAGGCTATTTTTCAACTTCAAATGTTTGCTAAATGACTTTTGATGATTTGTGGTGAACGTGAAGTCG